CAAAAAGAAGTGATCCATTGTCAAAGTCAAAAATTTGTATAACTATCAGGGGCATAAGGGTAACATAAAAAGTGAACCACTAAAACTGATGATAAAAAAAACTGTCGGTTTGGATATTGGGTTCATCCCTCGTGAGATATGCATATCTCCCTCTGGATAAACCCCATATCCAAAACCTCCCAGTACATAACTGCTTTATCCTATACCAAGTAGAGTTTTCAGGGGCATATGGCCATTTCAATAGTGCAAGGTGTAAAAATAAACAAATCATTCATATGCAAAGTCATTTTATTGCATTTCCACTACTTACCCGAAGCGGGAATATATGCACTGAAGCGGGAAGATATGCACCGAAGCGGGAGATATGGCGGGAGATATGGAGGTTCAGGATATTATCAACCTCAAAATCAGGATACGGGATATATCTTGCCAACTTATCTCCCTAAAACTCTACTTGGCATAGGATAAAGGGAATTTTGTAATACCCTGCCATGTTATTTCCCCCGAATCAGCCACCTGGTGGCGAAACTGGTAACTACCTACTCGCATCTGAGTAATTTAAAGTTAATCAGGTCACAGGGTGGGAAGATAGATAATGTCGTTATCTAGGTACCCACATGTACATTGCCCTACATTGTACCAAAGTTATATTTTTTGAATAAGATATATCAGTCTAAAAATATTCAATTAGGTAGGCGAAATACTAAGCATAGAGGAGAGCTGCGCAATAATGAAACGCTTCATAATAATTATACCGGAAAATTAAACATGCTGTTGCGTCTCTAATGATAAGACGGTGTACACGTTACCCCTCTCATAATAATCAAATCATTTGTGACATTTGTTTAGGTTTAGGTTACCGTTGTACATTGTCAAATAAGAATGCGTATGCAACAAATATGTACAAAATCTAGTAAATCAAAAGTGATTAAACAGGGTCCAAAATTATATTTGTTGGGACTATAAATAACTCAAACAAACAACACCGATTCATCATTTTTTGCCTTGTACCACGCCCGGTAATCGGACAAAATGAACGGAGGGGGCTTGGAGGGGGGGGGGGGGCGATTTCTGCATGAAAATTCAACAAATCTCGAAGCTAGATTTATTATGCAAGAGAATGTTTACTATTGAATTCCTGAATGGTGTGGTTAAGTATGTTCTAGGTTATTCATGAGATCTATTAAAAAATTGAATCTAAAAAATAAGCAATTAAAGGACCATATTGAAACAGAATATGTAAAAATAGATTGTCCTAACTTTTGTGTATTTTTGTTTGTTTTGTAGTTTAGCTATCATAGATGTGGCCTATTATATTTAAATGCTTCTCTGCCATGTTATTTTCGAAAAAATAACATGGCTGAAACTCTCTAAATTACAAAAGGCCACAGCTTTGCTGCACATTATACATAACTATCTGAAATATACAAAAGTTAGGACTTGTACATATGTCTCCATTTTTCATATACTGTTGCAATATAGTCTTTTGATTGCTTATTTTTTAAATCCAAAGTAGTTCCAAACATTTAAAATTTACCTTAATGACATAACGTGCAAAGGTAAATGTTTTTGCAATAAATCAAGCAGCCGGGTATACACTCTCACGACTAAAACAAGTGTCCATGCGTCATATAAAAATAACTGGAAATAAATAAAATGAAATGCAGGGAAAGGGAGTGAATGGAGGAATGTTTAGATGATTGTTAAATGCCAAGGGAAAATTGATGTGTCCATGCGTCATATAAAAATAACCGGAAATAAATCAAATGAAACGGAGGTAAAGGGAATGAATGGAGGAATGTTTAGGAGTGAATAGATGATTGTTAAATGCCAAGGGAAAATTGATATATAGATTTAATTAAATTGCATCACTGTTTCGTATTTCGAATTAGCGCGGTAAAAGAGAGTTAAACAGTTAGGCTATACTGTATAGAATCACTGTAAAAGAAATTATGGTCCCATGGGGATTATGGTCCCCTTTCTTAAAGGCTCTTACTGGCCCTGATTGTGGATACGATAATAAGGGAAAGAGTTGTATTTAGGTCACCATATAAATCAATGGAAAGTAGGACCATAATTTGATAGGACCTCCTACCCTTTTACACCTGGGTTTCAGATTATTAAGTTTCTGTGTGCAATGAGCCCGTGCCCTCTTGTAAATCTAGGAGTTTCAGCCATGTTTTTTTTTCAAAATAACATGGCAGGGAAGCATCAAAACATATGAAGCCGCGCATTTTATTAGCCAAACCAGAAGCAATCCGATATACAAATATCATTTATGTACAATTAATACAATTTTCCATACTCTGGCGTAGCCAGGATGAGGCAGACAAGACTTTAACATCACTTTTTTCTTCCTGGCTACGTCACTGCCATACACTCGTATCATTGCACAATGATCTTTTCATTTCTTATTTTTTTAAGGTTTTACTGAGGTGAGTAGACTTGTGAAATGGACTTTAAGGGATTAGTCAAAATTTTCCGCTGAAACTAACAGACGACTAACATCGGCGGCATAACAAAGCAACGACACATTTTTAATATTTCTATTTATTGTTTGATTTAAGTTTACTTTACATAAGAATTGATGTATTACTATAAAAAATGTTTTCTCATCCTCGTGTTACTCATATCAAGTTTGCATCCACTTAAATCAAATTATAAAATCCATTCCAACTGGTAACTGAATGCAGTTCATATTATGGAGGTTAGAACACGTACTTGAGCGTGTAATATTTCAACCCTCGGGGATTACAACTCTACTATACCCAACCCCTAGAAATGCATAAGATACTCTGTTTGTCTAATTGTATTGTTTAGTATATTTTTGCAAGTACCTTATTAACATCTAACAGTCTTCCAATAAACCATTCAAAAGGAACAGGCAAATAAAAACAAAAAACATAATCATTACTTCTAAGCCAAATGGGTTGCTTATGAACACTGAATGGAAGGTATAGTAGAGTGATTACAGTCCCGATTCACTTTACCAGGGACCTAATTACAATTATTTTCCGTATAGCTGTTTACTCATGGCCAAGAAAACAATACAAATTGGGAAAATACTTCATGGAGGACCATACTTTTTTCACAATCATAATTCACCTTTCCAGGGACATTATTACAATTATTTTCTGAATACCTTTATACTAAATCATCCAAGTAAACGGTACAGAAGGGAGAACTAATTCATAGAGGACCATAATTCTACATGTGCACCTTTAAGTCTTAAAAACGTGTTTCTTAACATAACTATTTTAAATAAACTTGAAAGTAGATGGCATCAATAGCTCACTATTTCACTAATGGGTTCTACAAATACAGTATCTAAAGGTTATATACTAGTAGCCTGTAGCCTATAGTTGTAATCTGTAGACTATATAATATCTTCACACATAGCTAGACATGATCTATCAAATTCAAGGCAATCAGGCATGACACAGTATTTCAAAAAATGCATTCCTAAAATTACAGCCAATTGCATGGATCTTTAGATTCAGTTAACTTGATTTCAAGTTGGCGTTTGAGTTAAATTAATGAATAGTTTATGGTGGGCCTTTTGGTCATTATTGGGCCATCTAAGGACTTATTTTTTTAATTTTAAGCCAAATTTTGAAGAAAATGGGCCTCAAATTTTCAAAATTTGGGCCCACTTTTCGGCTAAGTGGGCCCACAATTTTTATCCGCTCAAGCGCGGCGGTTTTTTCTCTGACCTCAAATTTGGGCCCCCCCCCTGTTGGTTCCTGGATCCGCCACTGATAGTAGTATCATAAGGGATACCAAGGTAGGTGCTTCTGCAGGTCAAAATGTCAAATTCTTATAGCTTTGACCATTACAGTTGAATAATCCTTGCAAAAGATTTCCTTGCAAAATATTCATTTTTAAGTGACACTGTACAAAATCTTTTCAAATGTGTCTTCAATATCTTTTGTGATTGTATCCTAGATTTTGAATTTCAGCTGCAACCCTCATTGGGGCTACCAACCTCATTCAAAGCCTGTAAACGAAACATACATGCTTTAAAATCATCAACAATATATCTGGGCTTAAATCCTTTATTAAATTGACCTTTTCAATATGAATTTTCATCATATAAAAATACTACTAGAATTTGTTGAGTATGGTAAATGTTTCCAAAGTGATGAACAGTATTTGAATATATTTGTGAAACCTCACTAGTAGTGTAGTAGGATAAATTAGTTATGTGATTTTCGGTTATGAATAACGTTATATCCTTCAGGATTCTTGGTAAGATACCTATATTTCCCTCGGGATGTACCCCATATCCAAAACCTCACATATCATAACCCTTATAACTAATTTATTCTATGACATTTATAGTAAGGTTCGTACATGTATATAATATTGTTGTATCCATTATTTACAGAATTCATGAAAGTACAAATCCTAACTGTAAAGTACATGGCACCAAGAGATCATCCTGCTCTTTGAGGAAATATTTATATTTAGTATGTGATTAAATGAAACCTTAACATACTGACATAATGGCCACAATTTACAAGAATGGCAATCAGTTCATAAGCATTTGAGTAAAAGTATTTGAGAAATCCAAACAATGACATCCATATTCCAAGTAAATAATACTAATATCCACTGGCATCTATTTAGTTTTCAGTTGTATTCCTATTTCCCTTAAAGTGTAAGCATTAATGTAAAGCCTTCTGCACTTAACTGCATCATACTAGGGGTGACTGGGCATGTCCATTTCTTGTCATAACATCCTTGTAGAATGACGGGATACAGTGATACATATCGATGCTCATAGAGTTTGTCTCACATTTAGGGCAGTTGAATCAAAGTGGCCACTGGTAAAAATTGTGTTCTGTTTTAACAAAGTTTGCCACATGTTAACAGTCTAAATACACTGCTTTTTATTGCAAAGATCTATTTTAGAATGACTGCCCTGTTCATCACACAATCAATTCCTTACTCCAATCTGGTTTGTTTTATTTCAAAACAAAATGGACATGACGTTTATGAAGACGAGCTATTGCATGATTATCTTCCTAACTGTCTGTATTCTCCGGCTTTGTGCCATTTGAGAGTTCTGTTTTATCACCTTCTTTAACAGTTAATTCTTCTAATTTTTTAGTAACATCATCAGCGGATTTAGATTCTTCTGTTTTAGTTTCTGTTTTAGTGGGACTTTCCTGAGTTGAGGTATCTTTCTTGTCTGAGGCATCGCCATTTTGAGAGGGACTTTCAGCGGAGTCTGAAATGAAATGCAATGAATTTATAAGTGTCATAAAATGGTGATCAATTTGCACATAGCTAGGCAAAGGGTGTCTGATTCTGATTTTTGTGTTAAATTACATACTAAATCAGGAGTTTCACTAGAATTTTTCCCAACAGGCTTCATGTAAATGAAAACAACAGGCAAAATTAATGAAAATAATAAATTTAACATGGAAAAGTTGAAAACAGGCTTTTGTGAAAACAACCGGTGAAAATCGCCTATTGGGTGCTGCTTATGAGACCCCTGCTAAATGCATTTTTTATGAATGACATTTTGAAGTAAACGTTTTTTCAAAAGTTCTTTCACTAACATGGCATTATCATTCTAATTATGATACATGGTAGAGTCCATTTCACTGTTTCATTGCGTCAGTAGAACGCCAAAAATAAGAAATTGGGAGACCATTGTGCAATAATATATGGAAAAGTATATTCATAATGTACATGAATGACATTTGTATATTTCAGATTTTTTAGTTTTTTGTGCAATAAGCCTGTGCCGTCTTGTAATTTGAAGAATTTCAGCCATGTTAATCTTATTGAAAATAACATGGCAGAGAAGCATCCAAAATATAGGGAGGCCACACACTTTATAAGCCAAACTAGAAGCAATCCAAGATAAACAAATGTCATTCATGTACAATAGGAATATATTTTTCCATATATTATTGCAAAATGATATTTTGATTTCTTATTTTTTAGCTTTTACTAAGCAGTTAAACAGTGAAATGGACTCTACATATCAAATAGAAGAAACGTACGAATATAGTAGAACCTGTCCAATCCGAAGGCCACTGTGACTAGCCAAAGTGTTTGGTATGAATGGAATAAAAAAGATAGTTGGAATTTGGATAAAGTGTTTATACTTAGAGGTATTCAGATTAGAGAGGTGTTTGGAAAAATAGGTTTTACTGTACTGAATTGGGCCGTTTTACTATACTGAATTGGGTGCTTACCTTTAGAGGGACTACTGCAAAACTGTTTTGCTTCATCAAACTTTGCCTTAAATTTTTGTGCATCTGAAACAGAAATATTGGTACATTCAAAGATGCAACAAAGACATGTATAGACATCATATTCAAGCCACTAATACATAAATTGTCACTACCTGCCATTTGGTATAAATGCCAAATTACAGACACCACGTTATAGGCGCCGGACACCAACCGCAGCCACTAAAAAGTTGGAGATTATGGTGATTTAAAACTGTCTACATTTCACAACATTTTTTGCTCTAGACATTTCGTGTCATGACTATTTGGCACGATGACCAAAGGTTCCAATACACCATTGGAAAGGAGAGAGTGTCAGCTTTATTGAAGCTAGGACAAAACTTCCTTTACTAAAGTTGCTTAACTCAGCAGATCTATAATGAGTACTGTGGGTAATCAACCCTTTTCTAACACCATAGCAGAGACTTATTGAATCAAAGAAAAAAACTCACTTTCTGCATTGCCAAATCTGATGGCTAAAAGTTCAGGTTTAGCTTCCTCATCTGCAAAATCTGCTGCAACACTCCAAACCCATGCTTTTTCACTACCACAGTTGGGCTTCAATTCCATAGCGGGATTTACTGAAAACAAAGTACCAATCATGTATGGTATTTAGTGTCATGGAACTTTAGAAATTATTAAAAGATCAAATGATGTACGAGATCTTCATGTTAGTCTGCTCAAAAGGTTAATTGAACATCAAATCAAAATGTGCCAATTTGTGTTTTTGTTTAATATTAATTAGACTTTATTTATTACATGTGATTTCTATTTGGTCAATTTTAGAGATAAACAAAACAAAACTGTATCATTCAGTTCCAAAAGAGAGTCCGATACAAAGAATCAATTACCTTGTTTTTAAGCTTAAATTCATTAACTCTTTTGACCGGGATGTCGACTAATTCATCCTATCGGTAAGTACTACGCTAATAAGTTTTTCGTTGTATTTATAGATGTCAGGCTATGTCTAACCTTGTGGATTATGTTTGTATAGGACGAAACATAAATGTTACAGGAAGTTAATGATATTTCGTGACTTTTTCATAGAATAAACCCAGGTTTTCTCTAATATTATTTGAAATAAAGAAAATGGGATTAAAAATGGCTGCTGCTAGAGCTCGAACTCTCATATGTAGACAATTTTCAGGAAATTAATTACCGAACTTAGCAAATTTGCTAATTACCAGTCGAAAGAGTTAATATATACTTACTGTATCTATATATGTATTGTTTTACATCTTGGGGATGATTTAATTCAACAAATTTGTAATCAAACATTAATATTGTTTTACTTACAAAAGTGATTGGCACATATTTTATGTGTTTTATCTCTCCTCATCAGGACTCTAGATCTGTTTTCACGTTTGTGTTTAAGAATTTTCACATCACCAGTTCCCCGATCTTTCCACTCTGTAGGCTCGGATTCATTATCAAATCTGAATAATTTTGCCCGCCTAAAAGAAATCAAAGAATATACAAGTTATGTTACAATCTATATTGTTTCTGAATAGTTGACCACCAGAGGGGGGAGGGGGTCCACCTATTAGTACCACCTATCCTCTTGGTCTAGTTAGGGGCCTGATCATTTAGTTAAAAACTTTGTCTAACGTAGATAACGAGGAATTTAAAAAAGAAAAAATGAATGATTTTTAAAATATTCCAGCAGGGAGAGGAGTCAATGGGAGATAACAAAAAAAGTGTGAGAAAGAAAAAGGGTTTACATTGAGGGTTTTTTTGGATTAGAAGGCTGATCAGATTTGAGGAGTTCAGATTTACAGATTTCACTCTCGTTTAACAGTATATTATAAAACTTACAATTTGATGAGAACATCTTCGTCGGCCTCTAAACTTGTTGTTTCAATGACGGGAGGAAGCTGTACAATAGGCTCAAAGTGGATATCAGGGTTATCCTGCTCATCATGCTGCAAAAAAATAATACCTACAATGACATAAAATATACAACAAGGCATTAACATGCAAAATGTCACCACCAGCCATTTGTTACAGATGCCAAACATGAAACACTAACCCACAAGCACCAACTACAAACTGCCAAACACCATTGACAAAAAGTTGGAGACTATAAAATTGTCACCACTTGTGGTAGAGACATATCAAAAGCAGTGATCTCTGCAGCATTAAAGCAAGTGGGAGCTGCACCCAGCTGAGAATGTGAAAATAGGCTTGCACTCACCTGAAAGCCATTTGATCACTAAATAGTTGACCTAAATTGATAAAAGACAGAGATTTCGCACCTAGTGAAAGTACAACTTATAACGTATACTTATACTTATAGGTAAACGTACAAGGTGTTTCATAATGTGAGCTTTTCATCATGAAAGATCTTCTCGGACTGTAATAAATACAGATCAAAAGGATGCCATTTGTACTTTCTTGAATTGTAGCATGTTTACACGGGATGTCATCGCCTGATTTGGTCAATGTTAGGGAGCAGGTCGTTTTTACAATAAATTTCAATATTTTCACACAAAATATTTTTTTACTGAAAAACTGCTCATTCGCAGAGAAAATGTACTAGCACATGCAATGACAATGTCAATCACGCTTCTGTACTAAATTCGGCGGAAGTCTTTTATAATCTAATACGAAGTTACTAAAAAAGGCGCGAACGCCCTACACTCAAAATGATCGTTTTTCCATTATAACTTTTTAACGTAATTTATCGAAGGCTTCTAATTATTATCCAAGATAGTCTAAATACCGATTAAAATATTTCTTACTTCAAACAGATACGCCGTCTTTTATTCAATTTTTTAAAAAATAATAAAAAATAACTCTTGTCAATGTTAGGGAGCAGTCAATGTTAGGGAGCAAAATGATTTTATCAGAATATTAAAAATGTAGCAAATGGCCATTTAAAATATGTATGGCATTTACAAACTGAACAATTTTGTTTGTATGATTATTTGATACCCTTTGGGGAGGAAAGCGTTAAAATTGTAAGAAAATCATTGAAAAGGTTATTTTGCATTTTTTATTTTCAGCTAAATCCTGTTTACGTTCGTTTTAGAAATATTTAGATGCGAACCATTCCTTCTTTATTCGTTGACCTCTAACTGTAAATGAATGGATGTATCGTTATATACACTTTTTGATGATGTCATCAGTTCACAATCCTAAATTGTGGATGATAAATTATCTGAACTGATATATAGGCTTGAGAAATCTCCGACATCCTTCAGTTCTATGATTTGATATTTTCCTAGTATTAAAGTAAGAGAGTTAGTCTCGCACTTATCTTTACGACCGGGTATCACCTGATAGCTGGCACAAACGCTATGAAGGGCTCATTGCGCAGTTACATGTATGATAGTAGATTTTTACACGTATACTTCAATTTGTCAATACTCAGACAATGCAGTATATAACCGATCTCTGTTATATGTGTACCACTTGCTAATGATACTCTAAAGCCCGGTATACACCAATGGGACAAGTTTTATTATTCTAACATTTCTAAAATATGATTGGACAAAGTTTTAGACTTTCTTTAAGTGTTACCGGTCTATTTCAAAACAATAATTTATATACAAAGATGAGCTCATTTATTTAAATACAATATCATGAATAAAGGGAGATGTCATGTAATTATTGTATCTGGTTAAATTGTGTATATTGTGCTGAGCAATACTGTATGCTTGTAAGGTTTATACCAAGGGGTATAAAACAATCATACAATCTTGTCTAGTTTATAAATGACATACATGTTTGTAAAGGCCAATTACTCTGATATTCTGATAAAACCATTTCGCCCCACTGCATTGTTTGCTCCGCCACATTGATCATACTTATTTTTTATTATTTAAAAAAAATTAAAGAAAGGTGTACCTGTTTGAAGTAAGAAATATTTCAATATGTACTGAGATTATCCATGATAATAATTAACTTTCCTTCGTCAAAAATCTTTGAGAGTCCATTTTCTGAAGATAACAAAAATGCAAAACAATTTTTTTTATCGATTTTGTTAAATTTTGTTAAGGCAAGGGGTTTAAAATAATCATTCAAACAATATTGTTTAGTTTATAAATGCCATACATATTTTAAATGGCCATTTGCTACATTTTTAATATTCTGATAAAATCATTTTGCTCCCTAACATTGACTGCTCCCTAACATTGACAAGAGTTATTTTTTATTATTTTTTAAAAAATTGAATAAAAGACGGAGTATCTGTTTGAAGTAAGAAATATTTTAATCGGTATTTAGACTATCTTGGATAATAATTAGAAGCCTTCGTTAAATTACGTTAAAAAGTTATAATGGAAAAACGATCATTTTGAGTGTAGGGCGTTCGCGCCTTTTTTAGTAACTTCGTATTAGATTATAAAAGACTTCCGCCGAATTTCGTACAGAAGCGTGATTGACATTGTCATTGCATGTGCTAGTACATTTTCTCTGCGAATGAGCAGTTTTTCAGTAAAAAAATATTTTGTGTGAAAATATTGAAATTTATTGTAAAAACGACCTGCTCCCTAACATTGACCAAATCAGGCGATGACATCCCGTGGTTTAGTTGATCCAAATGTGTTTGTATAGAATAAAATAGGCTCATATATAGTACACAGTCTGGCAAATAAGGATTTTTTCACTATAGCCAAATTTGTCCAGAGACATTTGAAACACTCTCGCCAAAATATTTTTCGTCTGGCCATAATTTTGTCTAGTCAGCATAAATTTTGCCCTCATCTCAAACTGTGCATGAATTGCGAATGGTAATTTAAACTGCTTAAAATAAGTGGAAAGGCCACACATGTCTGTTTCCTGATCAATGGAATTTCAGATTTGGGGTAGGCAGGTAGGTAGGTTGGAAAAATCTTACTCATAATTTTTTGAGGGTAAATTAGACAGAGCATGCTGATCAAATGTCTATACTAGAGTTGTATGTACTAACAATATCGATAAAGAAAATTGTGTTATTAGGCTATACTGCTAGAGTATGTATCATCAAAGAAGCTTTTACTTCAGAGTTTGGAGAGATCAATATTTTGAAAATGTAGCATCTTTTGAATTGAACCTCTTTAAAATGAACATCATGAACTTTTTTTAGTCTAATGAGGATAAACAAATAAAGGAATCAAATGTGCAAGGAGTTCTAGACAGGTATCTGGTTGTTATAAATGAATGTTGACTTGAACAGTTTTTCATAAGTTATAAAGATGGCAGTGCGATCAATACAAATAGAATACCAAAATTGTTACCTCTGAGTAAGAGGGGGAATAACCCCAGGGTTCAAAGATGACATACGCTTATAATGTAAATCTGTATTGAGATGACATCGTCGCTGATTGGTCAAAAGTCGACAAACAAATGACGTCATCAATGGCGGTTTCAAAATTTTCGAAATACGCTTCGAATAATATTATGTTCATTTCTGGCGTGTTAACCAATATCATAGCTTCTCATTTCACATCAAGATAAAGAAAGGTGTACGGAATATGCCTATATCAATTAAAACATCCCATCGAAGTGTAGTATTTGATAACTAGCCGATGAAAATTCGAACGAACGAAGGTGGTAAGCAAGAGAGGTAATTATGTCTGTCATCTTTAAACTCTGGGGCTTTCCCTCCTCTTCCTCTGAGTAGGCTAACTTCCTGCCTGCTCACGGCAAAATTTAGATGATTTTTCAGTGTTTTTTTCTAAATACTGATGATTATATGGCTATTTTACTTCAAATTGTTCTTCTCTAAGGTAGGTGGCTTTATGTTCTTCTATTCTGATCATGTTTTAGGTAGAATAAAAAGCTTTGTGAATGGGAATAGGATCAACTATGAAAATTCATTTTTCAAGAATGTCGGGGATAAAAACTGTGAAGTTTAATAGATCTAACATCCATCGCCAAAATTGTCGAGATAGATCGCAACTTCTATCGCCAAATTTTTTTCACTCCCTGTTTTTGGCGTTTGGCGACCTCTTATTTGCCACACTGGTACATATGTCATAGACCCATCTCTTCTCAAATTGACTTTTTGGAGATGCTCGTTATGAAACACCCTGTATGTCATATGTTGAGCTACTGAATGGGTCGTTTCCAGAAATTGCTAGAACCTACTGGTTTGATTGGTGTTTCAAATTGATGGTTAAAGTATTTGATTAGATACTGTTCCCACTCAGCCAATTAATTTTAAAAAATGCTTGCGGTCAATTGTTCCACACACATGTAGGCAAATCTTCATACGGAGATCCAACTGTATACGTTATCATCTACGTAAATATACCGTTTTGTAAGTTCATTGAACTTACAGGCCTCGCGCTTAACTTTTTTTATCAGGTAGGCCTAGTTGTTTCACTACTTAGTGAATTTTCCAGGTAGCTATTTGAGAGAACCAGATAGTGAAGATTTCGATCTTTATTCTTATGACTTACCAGCGCAATAATAAGATATTACACTGTAGTGATCTCCCCAGCAGCAATTGTGCTGCACCCACCTGAGAATCAATTTGCACCTACTTGAAAATGAGAAAAACGTGAAAAATAGGCATATTTTTCCAATTTTGGTCTAAATTGTGAAATAAGAATTTTGCACCCACTTGAGATAAAATCCTGGGGAGAACACTGCACTCTATTAGATATATGGAAGAAGTAAAAAATCCCCGGGAATTTCATGTATGGCAAAGTTTTCTTGCCAAATATGACTAATTTGCAACATCAGAACGGATTATAATAATGGAATGGATTGTTATTGGAGAGTTTACGGTAAAGATCGCTAAATGAACCAAGAATCAATAAACAAATAAAATCAGTAAAAAATATTGCAGAATTCCCTAGTGGAGCCCCGCGAATTGAATGATATGTTCTCCCCGATCATCTTTATTATTTCAGCTAGAGACCTTTCGATATCGATCTGATATTATACTGAAAGCCATTTGTTTAATGATAGATCGTCATTTTCCATGTAAAAGTCGTAAGAATAACGAGAAATGTTAGAAAGAAAGAGGAAACGTCAAACTAAAGTTCATGACCTTGACAGTCATGTTGACATGCGCAAAAAAGCTGCGCAAAAGACTACTTGGTTAAATGCGGAAACGACTCTAAATTTGAACATTTCTTTCATTCATTTCAGCCTATTTTGAGATATTAGTTTAGAATTGTGTTAAAAGGACCCACTGATGCATATTTATCGGGAGGATGCATCGAATTACAACATGTGTCATTTTTATCACTTTTTAGTGTGAGTACTCTATTATCGCTCACTTCATTTCTCTGAAGTTCGATCTTTTTTCTTCTGGTCTGGCTGTTTGGAACTAGCGAAGTTAGCTAATTGGAGGAAATGACAAGTAGTGTTCTGGGAAAACAGGTAGCGAATCGCTACCTTCGCAACGCTAATTTCGAGGCCTGACTTATACTGATCATGAAAACATTGAAATAATCAACTTGTTTGTGTAATGACTCACTTTAAAGAATCACGACTCCCTTTAAAGGATCGTGTTTATAATACACTACAACTACAAGGACACGGAAGCAAGCATTTAATTATAATGTGCATAATCTACACGTGCAGATGACAGTGCATTCATAGTCTCTAGTTGATGGAGCTTTTCTATAACGGGAATAGTAATGTTCCATTGAGTACAATTTAAAATTGATTTTAGTAAATATAATAGTTCAACATGACCCTTTAAAGTGGGAGTATCGATTGCCGAGTCGTATCCAATGATCCTGGGCCTATCGTAAAATGAAAGCTTTGAATATGTTGTTGCCTTTAAAAATGTATCTATTTTCCATGTATGCTACTAGAATTTGTGCACATACCTTATAACGATCGATAATGGCAAAGGAAAATCCTCTAATTCTTCGTCATAATTTCTCCTTCGACGTCCGCCATTTTTTATTAAACCGGAAGTTTTTCTCTGACGTCCGCGCAATGTTTTTTCACTTTTATTTCAGATTACGCTTCGGATTCAACATTTAATGCTTTCTAATATTAATTAAGTGTTTTCTATCAGAAAGATTTCATAAAAAGACTCACACTATCAGAGATTTTATCGATTCGAGCAGCCAGAAAAATTAGTTTCAATTTCACCCGCTAGGTGTTTTGACGTCGACTTGGAAAGAATTTGAAAAATCTATGAGTGGGACTCCTTGTATGGAATTGTAGATTCTAAACGATTTGCCAGTTCTACTGGTTGATGAATATTGCCATATGCATACATTTTTATAAAATAGGAATAAGGAAGAAGATGTTGGACCAAACTTCACCCCGATAGCTCAGAAAAGGTAAAATTTCTCCATTTTTCTCTCCACAGACCTTAGAGCCGCTTTAAACTATACGTATACGTATAAATTGTACTTTCACTTATGTGCGAAATCTCTCTAATATGTGCAACAGTGATCTAAAATACAGAATTCTACAATAATGATCTAAATTGAGCAAGTTGAGGGGTGGCCATTGTTTATGTAACCAAGAGGATTGTAGCAATTGTAAACAATTAAAATATCAATATACTAATAATACTTTGATGGCATCTGCGTGACACTTCAAGCTAAGGCATGGTCTAGGTAGTCGACCATTGTATTAATTGCTTAAAGCTTTTATAGGTTTTAAAGTTATATTTTAACTACCTCAGATTTAATCAGACATTCTCAGTGTTAAAGCCAAGTCCAAATTATTAAAAAGCCCCAGAACAACAATGGAATAAACATTCAAAACATACAGTATCCATCAATTTATTGTACATCACATTATCATAAACTGTCAAAATAATAGATACAGTCAATTAAATGTATTTCATAGTCACCAGTTGAACCTAAAAAGTAAGAAATCTAAAGACATTGCGCAATGATATATGGAAAAACATATTCATACTGCACATGAATGACATTTGTCCATTTCAGATTATTTAATTTTTAGTGCAATAAGCCTGTGCTGGCTGTTGATTTGTGATTGCAAGACAGCACATATTTTCCTCATAATGCTCATATTATCTAATTAATCAGCCTAAATATGTTGATTGAAAGATTGTTCAGAGAATAGGGGATTGAGCATTGAGGTCAATTAAATAATCAAAGTAGAAGGTATTTTAGCATTGCCATTCCCAGGTGCGATATCATAATATAACACAATACATGCACATCGATTTCTGGAAGCAGATCGAACAGAGCATGGTCATAAGTATATGGAGAACAAGACAACGGCTTATATTAGCTATGATGCATTCTGATTAGTTGAAAAATTCAATTAGAGCACAGTAATGCTTTAATAAGTACTATATGCGATGTAGGGAGAATGGGTGTGAAGTAGACACAATTTTGAGGTAACTTCGACATGTGGGGTAACTTCGACACTTTGTTGTTTATTTGCTCTAATTTCCGATCTAGGGGGAAGCCATGTTTTTTTTCTCGCATGGATCAAGATCTTGCAAGATTTTAATTTTTCCAGAAATCAAACATGGTGGAAAACGGAAATTCTACTTCTAATAAGTAAGTGTCGAAGTTGCCCCGTCTCTTATGTCAACATTACCCCACATGTTGATGTTACACCCCTTTGCCCTAATGATCAATAAAACTGATCAATCATGTATTCAAATGATGATTGATCATGATATAATGTTAGCAACTCATGTCGACATTGCACCCCTCTACCATATTCTATCTGTTCAAGTGCCTAGAGAAGGCCACAGTTCAACATGAATATTACTAAGCTACATCAACTGACTGTAACATGTAATCCAAAAATCTTTAAATAATTTCGATTTTTTTTCATTATTTTTTATGAAAAATTGAATGTGTACAGATTTGAAACGCCTCTAAAAGTTTAAAGAAAGCAAGACGATTGACAAAACTTCGACAAACTGCAGTTCATGTACTAGCTTTCATCGTAAGATAAACATTACCTTGTCATCAGACATGATTACGGAGATGTTGTTAGATTTTTGTACAAAATCGAGCGATATTTCCTGGATTCCCGCGAAATTCAAAATGAGGCTTCATTTACCTCAGGGAAAAGTATATTTATGAACCGGATACAAATGCCACACATAGACAAAACCATACTATATAAGTAAATAATACGTTTAAAAATGTTACACTGTCTTTAATTGCTTCGAATTGTATGAAATCGAAGATATATCGGAGAAAAAATAGTTGGTTTACCAGAAAATCAAAGTCCGGAATCCAAGATGTCTGCGCCCATGTCCTGCAACATTTTCTTGTGAAAAAATAGTAAAATATATCCAAACTACCACTTAGGCTAGAAATTCACGAAACTACATAGATCCAAATTGAAAAGGTAAGTAGACTAACTTTTCTCTTGTCAATTCTGATTCACAATCACAGTCAGTGTGCACCACAGTGAGCACAATCAAATATCTTCAATATTATTTTTCTGTTATATGGTAGCATGGGCTTTGAAAGCCCATGATGGTAGATATAAGCTTAGATAGATGGTGCTGACTGTGGTATGCACAGGCTTGTCAACCTGGGAACACCTAAACGAGTGACTGTTTTGCTTGACAATAATCAGAAAAATGCGTATTTGCGTGACATTTCTGTCACCCCCACAAAAAATGGGTGTGATTTCAATTTCTTCAGCAAATAGGTGACAAATATGCAAATTGCGGGACAGTTGGACGGATGGTATGCAGGTATGATTTGGGGCAAGCCTTGTGTTCTGATATCTATTGATGGCACTTCCAGGTTATCCCGTTCCCGGACTATGGTCCTGTGAACATCTCAATCTTTTGCCTGTGCGATTACAACATGGGAGAATTCTTTACTGATCTTACACTTCAGATACCTACTTCAATAGATTCCTTGGTAATTTAGCATTCTTTTCGTGTAGTTGAATCCACAATTGTCTGGGTTTATCGGCAGAACGAAGACATTTTCGTTTTTGATCGCAATATTTGCGTGTAACATTTAACCTTTTTCAACCGTCAAATTCCTCCATATTGGTACTTCCGGGCTACATCCGGGACAGCCAAACGGGGGATTCCCCGTTTAAATCCAACCGCCATTTTGAAAAGTGATGGAATCTCTCTCGATGAAAAAGAGAAAATGTTCTCGTTCTGCCGATATACCCAGACAATCGGCGGTTCCAATATATTAGAAGTTACATCTTGAGTTCTATAATGCATTGAGGTAGGTATCTTAAGTGTAAGGGGCGTAGATAATTCTCCCATGTTGTAATCGTACAGGCAAATTAATGCGATCAGTGCAGGACTATAGTCCGGGAACGGGATAACTTCCAGGCTCAGCCACCAATCAATATCAGGTGTGGATACAGGTTTCTGTGTTGTGGAAGAACAGTTCCAACCCGAACCAGTCTTACGCACATACACTATTTGGTGTTCTCTGAGACCATGGGCTTTCAACTAGACTTACTTCCTTATTTTCATTTCAAAGGAAATTGAATTGTTTCTGTTGTGGAAGTAACACTTTTAGATGTTTAGACTTAAAGGTGCAACAAGTAGTGCAATGATCATGGACCAGTGTCAAAATATATTTAAGTTTGGATATTTCATCAAGACTAACATCTTTTTTTATTTTCTACAAAGAAACCCCCTAGATAATCATTATTTCAGCTTATATTCCTCTTGAAACATGGTGGATCTTAAAAATATAAAAGTGGACATCCCCTTTTTGAAGCTTTGAACTGTATTTACACTTTTTAATGCCGAAATTGATAGTTTATCCATACATTTTAAGAAAATAGGTATGTCAAAGAAGATGTTAAGCCAACTGTTTCCTTGATAGCTCAGAAAAAGTTAAAATTTTCTTATTTTCTCTCTACAAGCCTTATTGCCCCTTTAATGTAACTATTTTCCAGGAAAACGCAGCCCTATCACCTCGTCGATTCAAATTCCCATTGTTCTGTTGTCAGGGGTCTCACCCACAGGTGTATTGGAAACATCTTCAGCATAACCGTTCAATCGTAATAAATTGTATTTATGTTATATTTATCCTTTTTACATGCTATAATTGTGTATTCAGTCAAGTTTAGAGTTTGGGAACAATCAATATTTGCCCATAGGTAGTGGTGGGAGCTAATTTAATTTTAAGAAATTTTTCTATTAAGTTATTAAAATATTCTGCCATTATGATTATAGTTGTCATGGCAACAGAAGGTGACACCACTCCTATGGAAACATCTCAATCAGGCAACCCATCTGACATGACAGATGTTGAGAATGTGAAAGATAATGTAAAAATTGAAGAAAGCGTTGATGGAAAAGACAATGTAAAAGATGAAGTAAAAGATAATGGAAAAGACAATGAGAAAGCTGTACTAAAAGATGATGAACAAGATAATGTTAAAGATACAGTGAAAGATGATGACAAAGGCAATGAGAAGGATACAGTAACGATTGAGAGAAATGACAGTGAAGAAGATACAATAGAGAATGATGCAGAACCAAAGAAGGATGATGACCTAAATGATCCTTATGGTTACATCAAAAGAGATGAATTTACAACAGAAATCTTTAAGATTGAAATTGGGAACATTCCTAAGATCTACTCTTGGTCAGTAAGTATTCAGAGTCAGACATTAATTAAATTTACCACAATCACATATTGTAATATTTGGATTAAGTTTTTATCATAATTTATCACAATTTATCATAATTGAACTGATTTCCAGGCAAAGATTTTTCTAAATATCCTTTAATTTTTACCTAGCTGTTACATTTAATAGTTATGTGAAGTTTGACCTTTGTTCTATCATGGGTTTTCTAGAAATCAATTGTTCTATTGACCATGCCCCCCCCCATTTACTTATTTCACCTTTAACCTTTTTATTATATTAAATATTTTAAAATAAGATTCTTCATATGAGACACATATTACATGTGTCAATCATTGACTAATGTGGATATGACTGTGACTTCATTGGATTACAAATGAAATAATTCGCTAGATTGAAAATGAAATAATTTTATTTTCAAATTCAAAAGAATGAACGTTGACATTCTTTGACGTCAGGGTTTAAAACTCGCAGCTTTTTGACTGCCAATGGCACTCATTTTTCGTGATCGGCAGTGAACTTTGAAAAACTGATTGCCTAAAAGCCAATAAGTTAAATTGTGGCAATCTATGTTTTCAATCTTGATCACAAACCCCGATAATGACTTGATTCAGGTGTTACCGTTAGCCTATAATAGATATACAGCCGGAATCCGCACTCTAAAATTATGGTACCATACGGTATGGTAGCCTATGGTACCGTTTGAGTATGACACCGTACACTGATCATGGTACCGTTTTAGTCTGTGGTACCGTACGGTACCATATTTCAAGGTACTGTACAGCATCGTAACCAAAATGGTACCATACAGTACTGTTGCAGATTGGCTGTGTACAGTGTAAAGTGGAACACCTCTTGAAGTGGAACACCTCTCGAAGTGGAACACTTTTCAGAGTCCCAAGACCAACTGACGAATGTTAAATGGACCTCTTTATGCATGGCGAACACCTCCCAAGTGGAACATATTTAGAGGTTCGAAAGGTGTTCCACATAGACAGGTTCTGCTGTATAAAATGAATCAACTTGATCCAGTTCATATTATAACACACCAACTTTAATTTATGTTCCAGCAACTGAAAATGAAACTGAAGAAGTTGGGACTCAATCCAGTAAAGATCATTCTGTTGCAAGACTCCAGCTATGCCTTTGCAAATTTCAGGTAACAGCTTACACTTATGACTCAATCACATTTAATCTACCGCAACCATATGGCGGCCGTAGCTTCCCAAAATCGAGAAAAATATGCAGCATAGGGATAAGCAGTATGATGTAGATTTTCTATATTGATTTTGTGAAGCTGCACCCGCCATAGAGAAAATGTGACTGAGGCTTTAACATTGCATTGGTCTCCTGGAAAAATGTTAAGAGTAGCAGGTATTCACATTCTTAAATGGTAACCTATGGAAAATGGTATTGAAAAAATGGTTTGTCCTAAGAGGAGTTAGGACTAGAGAGATGTTCAGATATACAGATTTAACTGTACAATATGAATTCATCTTTACCTCAAAAATGTTCATGCCGAGAAATTACAGATTATCTTCCTTTAAGGTGTGAAGAAGACAGACAAAAAGCCATTGAAGTGATAGATGGCCACAACTGGAAAGGCCTTTCTCTGACAGCAAAACCAGCCAAGCCAAGACAGGACCCCCTTATTAAGAGAAGGTTGGATAAAGGTAGACCTCATTGAATGTTGTAGTTAATATGTCTCAGGAAATACAGTGATTATGGTCTTGGAATTGTATGTTTGCATGTAAGAAGATTTATCTGTATAAAATTTAATGTACAAATTAAAGAATCTCAAATCTTATGAGGCTTTTGTGCAGAACTATTGAACAATGCTAATAAAGTAAAACCTGTTTAAGTGAACATCTCTCTCTAGTGAACACCTGTGTTTAGTGAACACCACTTCAAGACACATTTTACATTGACTCTTGTATAAATTCCCCTTTCTAGCGAACCTTTTTGTGGCTCAATAGGTGTTTATTATATACAGATTTTTCTGTAATATGCATTCTCTCCTACATGTTTGTACCTTGCATTGTATGTTGTAATTTCCTTAATTTCAATGTTGGACTTATTTTGACAGAGAAGTCAGAAGCTGGTCCTGCTAAAAGATCACGACAAAATGATAAAGAAGAACTCTCTGATGAGGAAAGACTAAAGCAAGCAGTGATGCCTTTAGGTCATCTAACATATGATGAACAGTTAAAGGTATTTAGTACTTCTAGTTATAGTTAAAGGTATTTAGTACTTCTAGTTATAGTTAAAGGTATTTAGTACTTCCAGTTACAGTTAAAGGTATTTAGTACTTCTAGAAATGGTTAAAGGTATTTAGTACCTTTAATATGGGGAGCTATTTAATACTTCTAGTTATAGTTGAATATTTAAGCACAAGTGCCAAAGGGGGGGATCAAAAACTGTAAAGAAACTTAGCAAGAAAAGCAAACTAAGTGTAAACCTGTTATAAGAAAAATAGACCCTACTGTATATTTCCAAAAACCATGATTTAATGTGAGAAGAAATAATGTCTGATAATATCACCCCCCCCCCCCCCAATCGAGCCAATATCACAATCCGGAACAAGAACACCAAGGGATGGTATAAAAGTCAGCTTCAAAGATGACTTGATGGTACTGCTAATGAGTGATGTAGATGTTGGTGTAAATATCTGGGGGAATTAGACATTTTCTTTATACTAATTCTGTGAAAATTTTGTCTAACAGAAATGCAATACTTGTTGTGGTTTTGCATAGCCTCAATATACACGTAGATTTGTCTCTCATCCTTTTAGATTCTGGCTATAATCGGTTTTTTAATGGCTCCGCCTTATTGACCTTTACGCTTATGTATTTTCTGTCTTCTTTCAGGTGAAGCTATCTCAGATGCAGGAACACATGAAAAATTTAACAAAACAAATGTTCAAAAATTTCCCACATTTGAAAAAGAAAGATAGCTGGTTGGCCAATCTAGTGTGAGTACAGTACAATTTTATACTTGAATGTCTCCATGGTGGATTGTCTTTTGTATCTCCTTATGCAGGGGTTTCACTATGCATGGGAGTAGCAAGGCACAAAGCAGTCACATATTTATGTTTGCCTCACCTATTTATGTTTGCTTCACCTATTCAATTTTGACTCACCTATTTATGTTTACCTCATCTATATAACATTGCCTCACCTATTTAATTTTGCCTCACCCTTTGAATTTGCCTCACCTATTTTTTAGATCCTGGCTATAACCCTGGCAGGATTCAGAATAATAGGTGTTGAGTCCAAAAAACAGGCAGAATAAACGTGAATGAATATTTTTGATATAACTAACTTGATATGGTCTACAGGGTGTTACAGAAGTAATGTCAAAGATGTTGCCATTTCAATTCTTCATGGCTGATTTTCTTTGTACTTTGTACAAATGAATTTCTCAAGAATGACACAATTTGATTGATTCATTTCATGGTTGCTATAGAAACCTGATATGATGTATTTACCTGTTGCCAAATTTTTCAAAAACTTAAGGATGAATGATAAATTGTTTAAAATAATATACAATATTTGAGATCGAATATGCAAGAAGAGATTAGATGTTTAATTGTCATTATGTCACCACCACAAGTGGTGACACACAAGTGGTGACACCACCACAAGTGGTGACAAATTGTTATAGTCTCCAGCTTTTTGTGAATGGTCTTCCCTGGTTGGGCTTTTGTAACAAATGGCAGGTGGTAACATTTTTCATGTTAAAGCCTTGTTTTTACTTTTTCAGCTCTGCAAACTCTGGTATGTGTTGCCCATTGGAGGAAATACTCCCTTCGGTAGGTACAGGTCCCTTGTTTTGATTTGATGATTTAGGCTAAGTCATAGGGATAATTCTCTCAGAATTTGTTGAATTTATCTACATTGACAAAACAAAATCTTGTGAGTTTTCACATTTATATGTCCAGATTGAAGCAAGTGCCAAATTAGGAACGAGTTCATTGTAAAACTTATATTGTCTATTACTGTTAAGCCTAGCTAGCCAGAACACAACTGGAACCAAATTAATCAAATGAAGAATGATCACATTTCAAGATTTCTTAATATGTGAGTCATTTGAAGATCACACATTTTGGTCTGAGAAAAAGTGTTCACATTGAGAGGTGTTCAGATTAGAGAAGTGTTCAAATATACATGTTTCACCGTATTTTTTTCAGCCAGAATGTGAAGGATACAGGAACAAGAATGAATTCACTATTGGACTGAGCCCTCAAGGGGAAGGTAATTTATTAGATACATTATTACACCATACAGCAATAAAGTAAGCAATGTTCCCCCCAGGATTTACTCACAAGTACAATAAACTTGTGTTATCCGAACTCCCCAGGGACCAGCCAAAAGTATTCGAATGTGCACATGTTCACATATTTGGTTGCTATATTGTGATCAGTTTTTATGTCACCACCAAAAAGTGGTGACATATTGTTATGGTGTCCATTTTTTTCTTGGTGGCGGTTGGCGATTGGCGGTTGCCGATTGGCAGGTTGCGGTTGATGTCTGAAACAAATTCTTTAAACTTCCAATAACTTAACAAATACTGTTTAGACTGACTTCAATTCTTTTCAAAATCATCTACAAGTTCTCAGAAGTTCAAATCTGACTTTTGATTTGAGATTTCAACTTCAATGATCTTCTTAGGTAAAAAAATGAATTTTTTCAACTTGCTTCAAATTGACCAATTTGTTTTTTCAAAATCATCTACAAGTTCTCAGAAATTCAAAACTGACTTTAGATTGAACTAATAATATTATGAGCAACTAGGTGGTGACATTTTGTCATGTTAATGTCTTGTTAAAAATGAGCCTGGCTTATTAAAAAATAGGACAAAAATGTATTCAATTGATTGGTACTCATATTAGAGATTTGTTTGGTTATGTAGGTTATGCTAACATTTTAACTTGCAGAGAACACTGTCGGATTTAGATTGAGTTCTTATAGAGATGGAGACAGTAGTGTTGCAGAGCCTTATGGATGCGTAATGTTAAATCAGAAAATGAAAGATGTTGTTCAGGTATTTATCTATATATTATAAATGGTGTAATTAGATAATGATTAAAGAGCTATGTTGGAATTGTTTTCAAATCATACAAATATGAGTGCAAAGGTTTAACTGTTAAGTAACAAAAAAATTTAATAACCCAATATGTTTCAGGGCTTCCAAGAATTTATAAGAATTTCTGGGAAGGACTGTTATAAAACTGAAGTGCATTCTGGGCACTGGCGCCTTCTGCAAGTTAGGACCACTAGGAAAAATGAAGTAATGGCCATAATTGGCTTCCACCCTCAGTCTTTAACGAAGGTGGGTTTATTATACAGGGTGTCCCAAATGATGGAAAAATGAAGTAATGGCCATAATTGGCTTCCACCCTCAGTCTTTAACGAAGGTGGGTTTATTATACAGGGTGTCCCAAATGATGGAAAAATGAAGTAATGGCCATAATTGGCTTCCACTCTCAGTCTTTAACGAAGGTGGGTTTATTATACAGGGTGTCCCAAATGATGGAAAAATGAAGTAATGGCCATAATTGGCTTCCACTCTCAGTCTTTAACGAAGGTGGGTTTATTGTATACAGGGTGTCCCAAATGATGGAAAAATGAAGTAATGGTCATCGCGATAATTGGCTTTCACTCTCAGGTTTTGACTAAGGTCGTTGCATTATACACGGTGTCTCAAATGATGCAATTTAAGCTGATGTAACTCAATAAATAAACTAGAAGAAAAATTCAGATTATTCATTTTTTGAATTGCCATTAAAACCTACGGCCTACCTCAGGTTTACCAGCCCTTGGACATGTTCATCTTCCATTTAAAAGTTAAATATACCAATCTGTTGAGATCACAGTGGATTGATTTAACTAATTATAGGAGGAGATGTTGGCTTTAAAGCAATCTATCAAGGAACACTTCACTGATGGAGATGGCAAGAAGTGTGGGATCACATCTATGTACTTGCAACAGCAAACTTCCAGGTATGTTAAAAGACAACTATCATGGGAATATATGTCACCACCACAGCTGGTTGTTGACATATTGTCATAGTCTCCAAGTTTTTTGGACTGTGTTTGGGGGGTTGCGGTCTGCATGCATTTGAAGTTTGGCAGTCAGCATCTGGAAAAAATGGCAGGTGGTGGCATTTTCATTTTAAAGCTTTGTACATCAAAAGCTATACACTTCTGGTTATCCAAAGTCATTCATGTATTTTCACGAGTGAATATTCATTGAAGGTGTTGTTGAACCTTTCACGATGATGGGCCCTACTATGTTATACTTTTCAGGATGATAGACTCCTTTTTGCACCATTATTTTTATTTATATACATCAATGAAATGGCAATATCACCAGTTCTATTCAGTATTTTTACTCCAAATTTTGACAAGTTGTTCTAATGTGATAATCCTTACTTAAAATCATATTTCAGTGATACAATTCAAGGTATAGGTCCCGGGTGGAGGTAATTTGCAGTTTCCCCTAAAACTGCTCTTACTTATCCGTCACCAGGGGCAACATTTTCCTCTAATATTCATGTCGGAAAAGGGTTAAGGCCTCTGTTTTTGAGATTGGCATTTGATGTTGGCATGATGGCATTAAACATCTGTAACAAAATTCAAATTTGTAACTTGGTGAACGTTGGTGACATTTCAACACACTTTGCAAATGTGCTTTATGGTCATCTTTCTGCTGATGGGTGTGGTCTGTGCATGTGTGTATTGTATGTGTCTCTCAAGGCAAATGCCATCACAACTCTTGTCATCAAAATTTGAGGCAAACCACTAATGTTCAACTGCAAATTACTGGTCTTCCTGGCATGCCGGGTAAAGGATGAGTCTGGGAATGAGTCTGGGTATCGACTTAGAAAATATTGAAAATTGTAATGTCTGAAAAACCAACTCAATCGCACAAATTATTAAACTTCAATATCTTATCCTTCTTCTGAGAGTACAAAAATATCTATTTGTATCACAATTAATGAAGAATATTGGCATCAAAGACAGTGCATATCACTTTGTCAGAATTGAAAAAAAATCAATGGCAAATATTAAATGAATTATTTATGCAAAAGGTTTGAAACATATCCTCCAAAACATTGCTTACTTTCTTTGTATAGACATTGAATGGCATTTCTGGATAAGTGAATTGGTGTTTATCTGGGTAATCAAGGGATTATAGTCACTCAAAGTTACTGAGCATCCAGTTTTGAGACTTCAATTGTGTTGGTGAAGTTACACATATTTCAGTCAAATTCATGCTGAGCACAACATTCCGGTTTCAATTTTATAATCTCTATACATGACCCTGGTGATGAAGAGTCAGAATCAGTCAAAAAATCTAAACCGGAAAACTGTGCTCATTGTGAAAACTAAAAGTGAAGCAACTTTTTTTCTGATATTTCTTACATCAAATGGCAGCCATCTTGTTTTTCCCCCTTCAAATTAAACTGGCGGGAAATTCAAAAATTTGAAAAATTTTTTAATCCTTAAATATATTTCAAAAATATGATTTTCTTTTAAATTCTTCATGGGTCTTAAGTTATTTCTTCTTTGTAAGTCATACATGTTGCCATTGATGTTTTTTTTCTATGATAATGACTATTTGTTTTTGTTAAGATACTTATTCTGACTCTCAGCAGGGGGTTAATTATGCATCAAAACTCGTGAAAAAGTAAATATACTCATCAAATATAACTAGGACAGTAATAAAAAACATATTTAACATACATTTGACTGAGGGACCAAAAGGGCATATACCCAGACACATCCTTTGCTCTTCAAATTGCTGCTGCAATATTTATCCTTGTGTGTCCTTTTGATTTATTTTCAGAGTTTCTGCTATGAGTTCTGAGGAAGAGTATGAACATATATTTGGAGAGGAACACATACATGAGAGTCTGTGTGACATGACATTCAGAATCTCACCTGATGCATTTTTCCAAGGTAAGTACAGTAAAACCTGTCAAATATGAACACCTCTTGGGCTAGACAAAAGTGTTCAGATTAGCAGGTGTTCACATTTATGTTTTCCTTGATATATGAGTTAATGGGAGATAAAAAATATTGAGCATGAAAAAGGATTCACATTGAGAGGTGTTCAGATTAAAGAGTTGTTCAAATATAAAGGTTTTACTGTGGTCCTGATGTAATGTTACAGAAAATCTTTTAGTATTCGAGGGCATCCATAAAAGTATTGACATTTTTGAGTTTTTATCTAGTCAACCAAAAACTTGGTATGCATCTTTGCATGTTTAACTGTCAACATCCTCCGATCACAGGGCTTCAAAATCCAGAATATATTCTTTCTTTTTACCCCCTGCGATAAGCAGTTAGCATTTCCCCGACTAAGAACTCGCAATCTGATTGGCTGTCGCAACACTGCGAGAGAAATCATGTATAAGTCATTGCATTAGATCACGTGATTCAGTTGAATCAGGCACTTCCAAATTGGTTATAGCAGGGGGAAGAAGGAGGTACGTATACTGGACACCTGCTTAGGAGGATGAACTGTCAATTATCCTTCATTTATAAAAGCATTGGATAATGCCAAACTATAGTTGCCATAGTAACCTAGATGTGATTGAACTGGCCATACCTGTGCATTCTGGGTAATAATATAACACTAATCTCTTCATAATTCCAGTAAATACTGCTGGTGCAGAGGTGCTATATAGGAAAGTTGCAGATTGGGCGGGGATATCTCCAGAAACTACCCTTCTTGATGTGTGCTGTGGTACAGGGACTATAGGACTAACACTAGCCAAGGTATGCTTCAGCCAAAATTCAAACATGACCGTGCTCTATTCGAATTTCTCAACCAATCAGAATGCAGCATAGCCAATATAGAACGTTCTCTAATTCTCAATAGATGCACGACCATGCTCTATTCAATCTGCAATTTGCATTGTTTTGAGTGACGTCACATCTCAGCTGCACATCTGGGGCTCTGTCCGGGATAGCTGTTCTTTTTTACTCCCTCCTCCCTCTATATTTATTTTTATTTTATCAACACCACATGTTTGCATACACCGTATAAAATCTAAAACGGGGAGTAAAATAGAACAGCCCAAACAAATTCTAAAATTTTTCCGGCCGACTTCAGAATCTTGACAGCATGCGTATTCTTCCTTCATGCCCGTTCCACAGACACAGCTTTTACTAATTTTTATGTTTGAATAGGAATAAATAATGATAGGCCATTCAATATGGTGAAATTCAGCACTCGTTGGACAGAATGTTAGTACAAATGCACTCACCTTCGGTTCGTGCTTTGTACAACATTCTGTCCAACTCGTGCTGAATTTCACCATATTGAATGGCCTATCATTATTTATTCCTTAAATATATATTTCATATTTGAACTCTGGACATTCTATATGCAAGAAATAAACTGTTATTGTACTCCGATAGCAACATTCAGTTTGGTAAATCACTCATGAAACAATAAGTCTAAATGGCATTTAAAGGCCCCATATAAAGTTTAAACCACTTTGGCTTATATTGTAGTCTTACCCAATGTTATCAAAGTGTGATATGTGAAACTTTCTTTTTAAATTTCAAAAAGTGGTTTTTGATAGACTTTTTGTTCCAAAATTTGTGAATTTATTTAAAACCAACTTTTAGAGGTCACCCATATCTTCTAATTAGCCACAATTCATACCAATGCATAGCATTCATCCTCCCATGTTTTTTGCCAAAAAAATTAAGAAAATCGGTTCATAAATAAGCGAGAAATGAACTTATCAGTGCATGAAAATGGTTCTGAGAAAAATGCATTTCAAAATTTTAGTTCTCATAGAAACCAATGGTACAATGATATCTAAAACATAATTTATTCTTCCTTTTAACCTGGTTAGACAATCAACATTGTTTTTTTATGAAGGTCTAGCATATTTAGAAAAGATTGACATCGAAAAAAAATTTTCAATTTTTTTCAAAAAGTTTTTGGTACCTTAGTGACATCACTAATGTTTCAAAATATTTTTGATATGCTAAAACATTGAAGTGGCCCATTAAATATGGCATTTTATTATTGAAATAGTGTGTCCTTTGTTCAATCTTTGCATTGGTGTTAAAAAGATAATCTTTTTCGAAATGCATTAAGAAATATTTGATGATTAAGAAATTTCAACTTTTTTGAAAAATGGCGGGAAATTTGAATATTTGAGAAATGAAATGGTCACAACTTTTTTTTCAAAAATTTTTTTTTGTTCAAATATCTCTAAAATCACTTTTTAAGTCATGACAAATAGTAAATGAATGATAAAAAAATATTTTCAAACTTTAGACGGGGACTTTAACAATAATTTTCTAATGAAAATCGTTTTTGTATTTTCATAATCTTTTCAGTATTCTAAAACATGTTTTGACTTCTCTTTAAGAATTGCTTGCGTGGATGTACATCTACATAGGGTGTCCAAAAAGTAAGAGAACTGGTGCTACCCTCTCATAAATACTGCATTGAGCATTTTCAGATTTTCACTTCAATGATATTCACGAAACACTGACTGATTTATTTATGGTTGTTATGGTAACATGATATCACAGTACCCTTGGCAACATATTTTAACAAACAGAGTGTCAAAGTCTATTAACATTATGTATTTGCAGAAAGTAAAACATGTGAAGGGGTTTGAGATGTGCCAGCAAGCTATAGAAGATGCTAAATTCAATGCCACTCTGAATGGTAAGATGGTTGATTTAATCATCAGATTGTGTACTTTTTGAAACAATTGTCCACAAAGGACACAACTTGATACAATATTTAAGTACAACTACCAGCTAGTAATAATATAATGTACAACTAATATTCTGAGATATTTGCTTATAAATTGACTTTAATGTTTAAATACTAGTAGATGTCGCATTATACATATTGCTAGTGTCTGAAATAGCGGTCAGAGGCGGTGCATAGTGAACTTAGTTTAATAAAGCATCCACTCATTTTAAGCCCAACACATTTCTTACTGTTTTAATATATGGTATTATATTGATATGCAATAACATTAAAGGGAGAATCAGATATAGCGAGCAGGCTAAACAAAAAATTGTTCCAATTATAGAATATTTTTGGCTCATGTCATTCCTTCTCATGTCTATTTTCTTAAAATCAAAAGAGTGCATACTTTATTCCAGGAAAACTATAGCTTTTTACAATAATGTATTATTTTTCTATAAGAATGGTTACCATTCTTATTATTTGGGAGAATTTAAACATTTTTCACCCATTTTTGCACTTTGAATTCATTATAACTTCACCAATTTATATCATATTGTGAATCTTTTGGGAGATATTGTATTTGATATTGTAAGGAATAGATTGGTAGGTCAATTATACACGTTGCTTGTAATTCAGATTCTGCCTTTAATAGATATTAAAAATGCTGAATTTTACTGTGGGAAGGCAGAAGATGTCATGATGGATGTCGTCAAATATCTACCAGGCTCATCCGAAGTTGTTGCAATAGTGGATCCTCCTCGGCAGGGCCTTCGTAAGTAGAATACTTCTACCTTAAAAAATAGCTGATGATCCTCCTCGGCAGGGCCTTCGTAAGTAGAAAACTTCTAAAAGAAAACTTCTGAAAAATTGTTGATAAATCTAATACCAGTGGTTGGATTTGGTTCAGATTTTACAACCTGATATTTCATATTCTAATGGATTATGGGCATAGGACTTTTCTGTTCTACTCAAGAAGGAATTTTCAAGATGACTGATGAGTTCAAAATGGCCACCATTCTTTGAAAGAAATATAGTTGCTTATAACTCAAGTTAATAATTTCTATTGACAATAAAGATGATCCCTATGAGTATTTTCAATGTTGTATTCAATTATATGATATTTATATTCTTAGATTCCCGGGTTGTCCTTGCAATCAGACGTTGTCATAACTTGAAGAAATTGATCTACGTCTCCTGCAACCCTAAAGGTGCATCTGGCAATATTTTGGAGTAAGTTTAGTTCTCATTGAAGTGTTATATTAGTTATTTAGAACAATATTGTTTTAACTTATTTGCAATTAAGCAGTGCTTATTTTTTTTTTTAAGAGTGTCCCAAGCTTTTTTTTTATTAATCATCCTTATGGTAAAATACATTACAGATTTTATTCTTAATTAATGAAAACATATTTTTTACATTTATATTTGCTCATCAGTCAAGTCTTTGATGTAATCTTAAATGACCAATACATTTAAATGGCACTTTCAGTTATTGTTACCTAGAATAACATTTTCGTATGTTTCAGTCTTATGAGGCCAGTGTCTAAGAAATTCAAGAATGCTCCATTCCGATTGGTCAAAGCTGTTCCGGTAGACATGTTCCCCTATACAAACCATTGTGAACTTATTATGCTGTTGGAGAGAGACTCTACATAAGGACTTTTCATAGCAAATAGGGACTTTACACCAACATAGGGACTGTGTGTGTAATCTGGACTCTTCTTCTTCATATACAAAGTGACCCCTCATCAATGTGTGGATCCTAAATGTACATATTAAAGACTCTTAACAGGGATTTGATATGTAATATGAACTTTACTCATTCCTTAATGAATCCATTGGACTTCTCTTGAAAGCTCATCTTGATGGATCTTATATGTAAAAAGGGACCCTTCGTGAACATAGACTCGTGTACATGGGGATTCTTAACTACATAGGGACTTTCAATGTGCATGGGGACTCGATACAATCATACCTATGGATTTCACATATGTAGGGGTTCCTATGGACTTCACATATGTAGGAGTTCCTATGGATTTCACATATGTAGGGGTTCCTATGGACTTCACATATGTAGGAGATCCTACGGATTTCACATATGTATGTATGTATGAGTTCTTATGGACTTTACAAATGTAGGAGTTCCTATGGACTTCACATATGTAGGAGTTCCTATGGACTTCACATATGTAGGAGTTCCTACGGACTTCACATATGTAGGAGTTACTATGGACTTCACATATGTAGGAGTTCCTATGGACTTCACATATGTAGGAGTTCCTATGGATATCACATATGCAGGGGTTCCTATGGACTTCACATATGTAGGAGTTCCTATGGACTTCACATATGTAGGAGTTCCAATGGACTTCACATATGTAGGAATTCCTATGGACTTCACATATGTAGGAGTTCCTATGGATTTCACATATGTATGAGTTCTTATGGACTTTACAAATGTAGGAGTTCCTATGGACTTCACATATGTAGGAGTTCCTATGGACTTCACATATGTAGGAGTTCCTACGGACTTCACATATGTAGGAGTTCCTACGGACTTCACATATGTAGGAGTTACTATGGACTTCACATATGTAGGAGTTACTATGGACTTCACATATGTAGGAGTTACTACGGACTTCACATATGTAGGAGTTACTATGGACTTTACATATGTATGAGTTACTATGGACTTCACATATGTAGGAGTTACTATGGACTTTACATATGTAGGAGTTCCTATGGACTTCACATATGTAGGGGTTCCTATGGACTTCACATATGTAGGGGTTCCTATGGACTTCACATATGTAGGGATTCCTTCCTATGGAGTTCACATATGTAGGAGTTCCTATGGACTTCACATATGTAGGGGTTCCTATGGACTTCACATATGTAGGAGTTCCTATGGACTTCACATATGTAGGGTTTCCTATGGACTTCACATATGTAGGAGTTCACAAGTACATTGTGCATACTCGTGTACAAAGAGACCATACATGTACATTTCAGTATGTGGATTGAAAAGCATTTAGAGTACTGAACTCATTGCATTTTTTAAACACACTTTTTTGCAATGAACTGATTTTCAGTTATTTAAACTAGGATTAAGTTTTTTAAGGAAAAATAAATATCAAGGAAACTCCCTGTAATATCTTTTGCGTATCTTTATTATGTCCCCAGCACACAGTGTCAACCTAGCTTCAAATATTTCCAGTGTCCATTAATCATCAGACAAAAGTCCAACAACCGATACAAAAGTTATACAAAACGTTATTGAAAAAGAGAGGCGAGACCATTCACTAGATATCCTTGATATAGCTGGTGCAACTTTTATTGATAAATCAGGAAAGTTGTTAGTTTATCATCTTCTTTATGTCGTGCTCTATTTACAAAACGTAATGGTTCATATATATTATCAACCACCGCTATATCATTTCCTCTTTTATATCGTTATTACGTTCGGGGAAGTCTCGTGAAACAGAGATAATTTTATGATTTATCATCTAGTTGTTCTTAATGTTTTCCTATTTTCAATTACCATCATATTATAAAATGAATGAAATATGACAAATTCATCCAACATGTGAATATTCAAATATAATCAAATATTAGGCTAGAGTCAGAGATACATTTCTAAATTCCATAAGGTTGGCACAGTTTTTAATCAGTCAAGGGTTTCACGCAAGGGTTAATAGTGATCCGCATAAAGAGATATTCTATTTTATTGTACATTCAGTATTTGTTGTAATACCAAAGCCCAAATGCGTTCGCTTTTTGAGCTGTTTGACATAGTACATGTTTCAGTCTTTACAATTGTGTAACACAAAATCAGAGTTTATCTGAATAGAGAGGTATGTATTCCAATATTAATGCATGTACTTTTTCTTCCCAAGCTCAAGTTTGAGATCTCTCCAAAAATGTCTTTGTTCTCTTTCATTCTCACTCCACTTCAGACAGAAGTTGTTTCTCACCATCAGTTTCAAAGTCTCTGACATCTCCTTCTGTGGTATGTTCTCCATCATTATCACTATAAGCGTATGCCTTTTGCTTTGTTTCAACAAATCTATTGCAGCTTCCATCTCAAACTCATTCATGCCCTCTTTCATCCAACCTCGCGTCACCAGAAAGATAACGTGTCGACTACGATCCATGTGTGTGAATATACCACTGAAATAAGACTCACTTCCAGTGGGAAGAATATTAATGTCATACATCAATGTGAACTCTAAGTCTCCTTTTCCTAATTCAGGCGTCATAACATCTTGTACCCAGATTCTCTTCTCTGGGTGGTAACTGACGAATGCGTCATATATTTCACTTTCAAAGCCATCTATAGGAATGTATCCGTTGTGTTTTCTAGCTCTTCGTACCATTTGTCTGTATTTGATATCCTTCCAAAGATACTTAAACAATGCTATTCCAAGTACAATGCCTAGCGCCAAAGCAGTTCCACTTAGGATACACCTATTAATGAAGAGATCTCTATTGCATACCACCCATGGTATATTTACCTTGATTATCTCCTCATGTTCTCGTTTTGCGGGTGCCGCGCATAATTTATCATGTATCACGGCAATACCTCTGTGTCTCCTTGGACGATCACTGGGGGGTATCGTGATGCAACAACACCGTGTTGTTGCATCAAGATGGCCAGACTTCCGGTGATCGATTTTCGAACGATATTTTGTTTTCAAAATTTAAACCCATTTCTAGGACGAGTTGCTCAATAATCATACACATGCAGCTAGCGCATGATCTATATTTTGAAAAACTGTCGTTAGTATACATGTAGCATCATCAAGAAGCTATAAATTCGCGGTTTTAATTCCTCACTATTGATGCAACAACACCACTCTGTTTATTATCGATGATACAACAACACCAATGTGCTGATGCAAAAACGCCAATATAATGTATCATTGAACAACAAGAGAAACTGTTTTATGTCCCGTTTGCAGGTGTTGGTCGGGACATGAATAAAACGCTTGAGTCCGTGGTCCATGAATGAAACGTATTTTGTTTGGTTTCTTAATGTATTTGTATCTGAAAAATAAAGATTATTATACGAACATTTTCTAAATTAAATGCCCTTGATTTACCGTATGGAAATTGTATACAAATAACTAATATAATCATGGAAAGACAACAGATATCAGTCATTTTGTGTTGTTTGTACCTCAATTGAAATACTCATTTCTGATTGGTTGATGAGCGGTCAACAATATGTACTGCTGACCGCTACTAGGTACTGTTGACCGCTACTTTTGAAAAAATGTTTTTTGAATGTTGATTTTTTTTTAATTTTGAAAAAATAAGTTGTGTAAAAAATTACAAGTATTCGACGGTTTTGAGATTTTTTGCTAAAATATGATACTTTTACTTATCAAATATGTTCACTTGATATTCGATTATATATTCGTCCAATTATTATATTCTTCGGACTAACAAACAATTGTTCACCTCTCTATTTGGTCAACTGACCAAAGTGTATACCTCAACAGTAAACACTGAGAGTACTGTTGACCTAGATCTCCGGTCTAGGTCAACAGAACTTTCAAGGTTTACAGTATCGGTATACAATTTTGACAGTTGACCTCAAGAGAGGTCTACAATTGTATATTGTATATCCTTTGTTATCCCACCCTAAGTATGACGTCATTTATCAAGTTGAAGAGTTGTATACGCTGCTCAGGAGTCGTGTACGCTATCCAGGAGTTGTACATCGTTCTCAAGAGTTGTATAGGATGAGTGTTGGTTTAATGATATTGCAGTTATACAATGCTATTATATAGAGGTTATTTACTAAGAGGGATTCAATATTGGTTTTATTCCGAGAGACAATATGATATGTCCCGAGGGCCCGGGGGGAATCTGGGATTACTGTACCCCTATCAGTTTACCTTTTTGGGCCCTAAATCCTATCACTTTTGTTTACCTTTTTACTTAGTCGGAGAGAACGAATCCACAGAGAACAATACTTCTACATGTGCACTGTGCAAGATTTCCATTAAACGTGTAACTAAACGGCCTCTCTAATAAAGTCAATTAGACGTTTTTACTCGTTGGCTCTCCAAATTGGAGGAAATAAAGAATCATATCATATCATAGATGAAGCAATCATCTCATTAACATGCTTTTTGAAATGTTCTCCGATAAGCTCACGAATGTTACAGTGAAACTGTTTTAGCTATATTTTGATAAACAGTGGTAACGTACATCTACTATATCTAGTTTATCACTGTTCTAAAGATGGATTACAGATAATTTCCAATAGCTCGTCATGTTTACCGAGAACGAAAGATGTTTGTCCACCATTTTGAATGATACTAAATGGAGTCAGGGTCATCAAGCTATGGAACAGTGGTTTATGAAAATAGATTGGGTTACTGTAGCTTGCCATGTTAAAGGCGATTGAACTATGTTATAGAACAACGTCCAGTACATTATGATATTTAAAAGTATAAATTTTTGAAAATATATGTAAAGAATCTTCGCCCACAGGACGTGTATTTTGAATGCCTTGAGAAGAACGCAAATGGGTAATGGGTAACGGTGTCGCAATCGTAGCATTTAAAAATCTGTTCCTCTCGAGATTTATGGTCTTCTGAAATTATACTATTAATTGGTGTTGCTGCATCATTGCTCAAATCTAGAGGAGTGTTGTTGCATCTTCGGTTTGGTGTTGTTGCATCAATAGTGAGGAACTAAAACCGTGAACTTATTGCTTCTTGATGATGCTACATGTATACTAATGACAATTTCTTTAAATATAGATCGTGCTCTAACTGCACGTGTATGGTTGATTGAGAAACTCGTCCTAGAAATGGGTTTAAATTGGGAAACAAAATATCGTACGAAAATCTAACACCGGAAGTCTGGCCATCTTGATGCAACAACACGGTGTTGTTGCATCACGATACCCCCCAGTGACGATGCTGCAACCATTCTATAAATGGCACCATATCACAGTTACATTGCAATTTATTGTCTTGAAGATCAATTTCAGAAAAAGAGTGAAGATGTGTCAAGGCATTGGCATCAATCAGCTGAATAGCATTTCCAAAAAGAGAAAGATATCGTAAGTTTTGTATCTCAAATAAGCCAGTTTGAATATGCGTTATCCTGTTGAATCTCAAGTCTAATGAGGTTATACATGAATTATAGAACATGCATGTAGGGAGTTGAGCAAAGTAATTATGAGACAAATCTAAATCTCCGATAAAAATATTACTGAACATGGAACACAATTCACTGCCATTATAGCGAAATAGCAAATTCCGAGCCAGATAAACAGTCTCATATGATTTTTGATTTTTTAAAATTTGATAAACTTGACCTTTGAAGTAATTAAACAATTCATACATCTTATGTATACTAAATACTAGCAAATCCAGCTTGTCAAATTTAAAGAACGTTCTGACAGGATCAACTTTACTTTATGTTAGATATTTCAATGTTTTTAAATCGTTAAGATTGATAATTTCTAATTCTCCTTTCCTATACAGAGTCTGCATTCCATTTATGTAAAGTTCTTTAATTTTTCGGAGAGGTTTGAAGCATCCTGTGGAAAATCGCATGACATTTGAGATCTGTAAGATTTCTAGATTTTTTACTGGTTCAAATGCATCAGGTTCAACAGCATCTATAATATTGTCACCTATCCAAAGTGTTTCTAAATTTGACCTTTCTAACGATTTCAAAATTGATGAATTAAACTTTAGTATTGAAATACCACATGCAATGACGTTAAGATTTCGAATTATTGTTTTGTTGTTTAAATTGTTAATCATGTTGAAGAAATTTTTGTTTCCAAAGTGAATATTTTGCTCTAAATTGATTTCTGTCAATATTTTGATGTCTTCGAGAAAATCTTTTTCCAATTCTCTCACATCATTTTCTTTAAGATTAAGCGCTAGTGATGCTGCGTGTTTGAATTGGGACATTTCCGCTTTGGTGATCTTAGTTATCTTGTTATTTCTTACACTTAGCCAAAAATCTTTTGATGTTTTGAATGAACCGTTAAAAGAAAGAGTTGTAATAAAATTGTTATCAAGTTTTAAACTATGAATCCAAGGCGTACTTGATGGTATAAATGATGGGATCTTTCTTAAACCAATACCATTCAAGTACAATATTTCTAACCTCTTAATGTAGCTAATTGCACCCTCATACTTAAGAAGGCTTTTATGGCGTACGTCCAATCGTTTCAAGTTAGGCAAAGCTGAAAATGTCTTAATTTCAAGATATCTGACTTTTCCAAAGCCTATGACGGATATGTTTGGACAATGATGCAGTCTGTAATAGCTTAAGTAAGATATACCCTTTTTATTGTCTTTTACATCTTGAATGAAGAGCTCGCTCAGGTGTCGTAGTCCTAAAAGTGCATCAGATTCAATTTGTGTGATATTGCACTCTTGTAGATGTAGAAATGTAATATTTTGTGAGAGTGACACACTTCTAAATGATCCATTTGTTATTTTTCCAAAGTTGAAATTTTCAAAATAAAATCCTGAGACACTGTAAAACTTTTTGAAGTTTAACAATTGTAGAATCTCCATTCGTCCTATTGCAAATTAAATGCTTTTTCAAAATGTCGATTGCGCACAATTTGTCACAGAATGGGGTCAGAGGGTACTGACGATCTGGAAATATGGTATATTTCAAAGGTGGATTGTATTCCCCGTCTCCTCTTGTCAGAATATGTCCTTTATATTGCTTGCTTTGTCCATCGTATAGGCGACCTCTTTTAACATTGTGTACACTCTCAATGTCCATCAATCGAATTGAGTTATTCACATCTTCATATACATCTTGATTTTCATAGTTCGATGTGTCTTGATGTGAGTTTGAATGAGTGAAAAGCAGAATTGCCACGAGACTGCAAATGAATCTGTTATTGCATGCCATTCTTCTGGAATTACATAAACAATTGATCAAAACCTTTCATACTTATTTTTATCAATGAAAATAATTTAGCGATGGCATTATGATCCACAGCTGACAACTTGTGTCTTGTTAAATGGTCATTATTGACCAGCGAATATCTGAACATCAAATTGTGTTGAAGGATTCACAAAAATGTTTCTTGCAAGTGCATATCAACCTTTTGGTGTGTTTAAATGGTTACGTAAAGCTTCCCGTATAAGCACAATTAATATATCAGTCTACTTTTTGAGAAATTAAGGGAATTTGCTGGTAAACTCTAGTTTATTGAAATAGCCTTCCTAAAGATAAAACATTCCATCGAAAAGTTTATATAATCTGTAAATATCGAGATAGTGAATAATCCAAAGTATGCATAAGCCAGAATAAATCTTTTTATTAGTCCTAAATGTTTTGCTTCATTTACAAAACATTTCATGAGACTATTTCGTGTTGTAACTTGAATGAGGTAATCGAAATGCAAAAAGTGCCATCACCCAGTATATGTCGAAGCAAAATATCACTTTCCCATTAAACGCAAATAGAAGATCCTGAAATGTTTATGGATTTATTTCCCTTCCAGAGTCCTTTAAATCACGTCTACCGTGAGTCGAACCTTTCTACGAACTGTAACATCATCAGTACCCAATTCACGTTTTATATCAATTGGATCAGCTTTATGCCATGCTTCGTTCGTCTTTCATGCATAACGGAATGCTTTTATTTTGATTTGTTCAGAATAAATGATTATAATATATAATTTTATAAACAAAGGAAAAATATGTAGATTTCCTCAAAGTTTTTATTATGGGAAGCCTACGTCCCGCTCCAAATTGTTTTATCTCCTTATTGATGATATTAATATATAATAAATACTTCAATAAATACAGGAAAAATGAGTTGATTCCTTAATGTAATTTTAAAAAAGGGAAGTCTTTATCCTCCAAATTAATTGTTTAATTATTGATAATTACAGGAAAATGATGTGATTGGTTGATATTGATAAATAATGACCAAAGTTCAATAGGTCCGAGGTCATCATACAAGGATCAAGGACGAAAAGTTTATCTGAATCCAATGCACTGAATTCTATGTAAGGTAAATAGTCCAAGATCCAATTTTCTCAAAGGTCCATGTGCAGTATGGTAAGTGATTTTAGACAGTCATATCTTTTACCATGAGTAGTTTCTAGCCATAAATACAGTGTTTTTTATTAAAACAATAGGTTTTTCTTCAAAGTGAAGTCCCCATGATAGTAAAATATCGATCCAACTCTCTGAAAAAATATAGATTAGGACCCCACTTTGTAACTTTTTAAAAATGTAAGGCTTATTTTCTAAAAAGAGAATCTTGTTTTTCTAAATTTAAATGTATCAAAAGTTTCCTCTACACTATATTAATAACTTCTGAAAAGGGGATGGGTATTGGAATGCGATAAAGTTAAAAACCACATTTCCCGTGTTATTTTCCCTCATCGAATATTGATATCTTCAAAACTAGAATTTCAATACCATTGTTTTCATGCAATAAAAATCAGAAAAAGAAATTCCTCTTTTGAGCAAATAAGTTCAACATTTTGAAGCTGGGTCCCTATTCATAATTTTTTGAATTGTTCGATTGATATTTTTTATCATCAAGGGGACTTCACTTGAAAGAGAAGATATTGTTTTAATAAAAACCACTGTATTTATGCCCAGAAAGTACTCATGGTGAAAGATATGACTGTCTAAAATCATTTGCCATACTGCACATGGACCTATTGGACTTCACATATTTTGTAGTTTTACCTAAATTCCAAACAAATGTATTACATAAAAGACTTCTCAAGTATGGTATGAGTCACTGTTCCACAGCTGGATGACTCTAACTGCAGTTAGTATCATTCAAGATGGTGGCCAAAATTCTTTAGTTTTTTGATAAACTTTCGAAATCAGCTAAACTCAATTGGATCTGGATTCCAAATGTTTCGCCATGCAAACTATTTTTATTTATTTTGTTTATTTCCTAAATTCCACAGGTCTGACCCTGTCTTAGTTTTAGAGTATGTTCCCATTTTTGTTCTGAACGTTCTAGATCTAAGATTGTATATTTGTCTGGTTTGGTGAGTAGGATCTGAATTGCTGGGAATATGTTTTGTTTAAATCATAAAGCATTTGAATACATATGTAGCAATATTAAAATTTGAAAAACGCTTAATTTAACAGCTTTTTGAAAAAAGAATGTGTATGGTCACGCATCAGGCAATTTATATCATACAATCTTACACATTGTTTTTGCAATCCGGGTAATTTCAATAAATTAGTATAGTGTGGAACACTTCCCGAAAAAAGGATGAGTAATATATTGTTTTAAGACTTTTTGATTTAACATTAAAATTAGCCTTACATATACATATTTGCACATGCGCAACAGAGATCTTTTCTGTACGCGTGAAAGTTAAAATTCAGCAATATTTATTCTAACTCCAACATATTTGTACCCGAATTTTTCTATCAAAACAATGAACAATCTTGTTAAATGCAGTCTCAAAATGATCACTGGCGTTTCCCATCAGTCATGCTGATGATCTTTACACTGCCACCATGTCTGGCTATGATTGATTGATAAAACAGGAGCAATTGGATAGTGTTAAACAACTTTATTGAGAAGCTAATGACTGACGTCATCACATACAAATACAACTAGAGACACCTATCTGTTACATAAAGGCTCATCTTTGTAATATCACATGACATACAACTGTTAGATAGACACCAATTAGTTATACGAGGGTTGATTGAAAGTTCTGCACCGTTTGTTCAAAAAATCGTAATACTTTATGAATAGTATTCATAATTAGCCTGAACATTCTCATATATAGCAGTTCTATTCTAACTTACACTTAAGAAACATAACATTTACTAGCATGTGGCTCTGCGGCTGCGTGCTGCAGAAAAACCGAGTGTATTATTTGTACAATAATGTTATCGTATGTACATGCTGGTTGCCAAAATGTGGCTCTGCGGCTGCGTCGCCGCTGGAAAATATACAAAAATGTTAATAATGGACAATTGATTAGCTTACTCGATAATGTAGTAATAACAAATCTCATTTTCAAAATTAAAAAATTTCCGACCACCTGTAAAACCTTTTCTATCTTTAGCATCACACACTCATTAATGCCCATTATTATTCTGTTGAGAACATGATGCTAAAAATCTTTGAAATCCTCAACAATTGAGGTTAAAGGAAAAAGGTTTGTCCGAAAATTTTTCATTACATTTTAAAGACATTTACTTAGTTTATCTCGCCGCTTAGAGCCGAAGTGATCTTATTCACGAATACATACACCGTTCACTCAGTAATACTGCATTCACAATTACTGTTCTATTTTCATAACGTTAAACGACCAAATAGAAATCATTTTCTTGCTAATTCGTACTTCGTGACTCAAACGCAATAAAATACATTTTCATTATGTGTAAAAATGAGCAATATATTTGACCAATAATTTTTTCTGGGCCCATAAAAACAGGGACTTGACTTCATGCACCCACCCTCCCTGGATCAATTAGTGAAGTCTATATTAATTGTTTGTTTAGTTGTTGATGTGGCAATACGTGTCTGACGTCACGGGTGATTGCATCATATTCCAGTCACGCCATTTTACGACATTGCATAATTTTAGCTGATTTTGGCTTCATTTCACTTTATTTAAAAGACTTTTAAAAATATATCAATGAGTCAGTATTTTTTCTTATAAATATTAATATTTGAATTTGAGGTCAAAGTCCGAACATTTGATCAACTGATTGAAATCACATTTTAAAGAGGTGAAGAAGTGAATTATTACAGGAGCAAACGTGATCAAGGTATCAGTCTGTCGGCCGACGTTATAAACCCATTGTTGTTTACCGGTTTTTAAAAAAGTGCGTAGTAATAATTTCGGCATTTTCGAACTACTTGTTTACGCCCGATTGGGCATGGTCTTTAACGAGTTGTTTAGCAATCAAGATGTTACTTTCATAAAATAAAAATAGTATGCCTATAATGATAAGTACCTCCTCTATCTAATGGTGTATTTTTCAACTGCACAAGACCACGGGAAATGGGTATAAAATGCGTTGGAAAAAGGGCTACTTTTAACTTTTTTGAACTTCGACTTTGTCTGATTAATTCATAGAATAATTTATTTTCATGATTCATTTTAGATCGTACAAAAGTTGGATAATGTATCGAAAATCATGCTCGTGAAAAAATTATTTAGATTCACTTAAAATCCAACGATCGTTACAGTTTTTACTAAACCTCAAACTTAAAACGGCTCATTTTTTACACAAATAACGTGTTTGACGACACAAATCACGGATCTATCTGTAGTTTCTATCTCTAAAGTTTAGGCATTTCGCACACCAAATAAATATTGTTATATAAAAATATGTATCACCCATTATTCGCGGAAGGTATTTAATTTCATGTATACGAAATATTTATCTGATCCGATAACGATTAAGTATTCATTTTCAGTTTAAAAATACGAAAACTGCTAAAACGGGGCTAATATTGAGACAAAAATTACGTGTGACGTAATTATTTCTTTAATCATGCATTTTCTTCATAGAAATCTGGAATTAATTTTAAGGATCAATATTTAATGCAAAATATATATAAGACGACCACAGCGTGAGCAATGTATCGAATTTTAGGCAAACAAAAAACAAGAATGATTCAATTGAACATGAAAAATTGTTACAGTTTTTACTAAAATGAAAACTCTTAAATGGCGTCATTTTAGCCCAAAATCCAAGTTGAC